TATCGAAAGAGGAAATAGCCAAGAAGGACTCACAGAAAGAAGAAGTAGCCAAGAAGGACGTGTCGAAAGAGGAAACAGCGAAGAAAGAACGAGAAAGCAGTCGAATCAGTGCCCGAGCCAAAGGCCATAGACGTGAGTTTCTCTTTTGTTTCCTATTTTCTTCCACATCATTCTTCCTCATGGGGGTGCCTAACTTGTAGGCGTGGCTAGGGTGGCGTGGAGTTCGAAAGTTGGGGCCGTGGCGAGCGCGTAAACCTTCTGAGACTGATTGTTAATGCTTGAATGTTCGCCGTGGAGAGCGCAGACATGTAAGCACCACCGGAAGAAGGAAAGGGTGTGTGGGGGGAGGGGCGGGGATTCTGAAATTCGTAGGCTATACTCAATGTGTGAAAGGTTGGAAGTTCAAATAAATACTGGTAACTGACTGCTTTGGTGCAGAAAGTCATGCTGCTTGAGGAGCCCAGTTGGGGCAGTCCATTTGACCGCGTTCATACCCGCGATGTGACCAACTAAACTGCGCGGTTCCTACCAACCGCGCTCCACTGGAAATTGTTGATCGCCAAAACAACCGAATGAAGTAAGTTCTGTCACTGAAAAGGCGGTTGCATTGGTCCAAAGACTAGCGGTGGAGCGCTATTAGTCATAGTCGGTGTGGTAGCGCGCTCGGGATGCGGCTATGAACGCGACCTACACAAGCGTCGGTATGACTTCGTAAGCTATAACTTTTGCAGTGTGATCTGTGGTATTAAGCAGCGGTAATCGAGATAGAAGACTTCAAAACGTTGTTATGTTCTTGGCGCAGTTCGGGCGGACTTTGGCTGGGGGGGGGACATTTTTGTAGTTTCCATCGATCACTGGCGATGCATCTTGTGGAGGCCTGTGAGTTCCTGTGAAGCTACATATGTAGCTTCATTCAGACCTTACAAGAGCCCACAGGTTTTAGTAAGGTGATACGTGTAATTTTACAAGAATAGCGCAGAATGCCGCTCCCAAGCGGAACTATTCCAGCCTTTCTCTGCTTTTTTTTCATATGCTGTGCGCTTTCAAACGGCCTCTGTACCTGCGAAATTGCGTCGGGCGCAGGGCCCATCCCAAAGTGGTTGTTTAGCAACGGACGAGCAGCTTTTTCGTTTCATCTATAACTGTCTGTTTGTCCGTCACAGTATATTCGAGCTTCTCTTCAGCCGATCCATATGATTCGTATCCGTTCATGACTGAGGATGAAGAACTTGAATGCTATGAGGGAGCCAAAAGAAAGGATGTCGAGCAGTATGCGCGAGCAATGGGACGTATACTCTTCAAGGATAATATCAAGGCGATGTACAAGGTAATTCTTTACACATGCTTTTTCCCTCGACCGGATTGCTCCGAGCTCAATTTTTGGGTCGTGCTATTGCTGTCAGCCACCCCAAGACGCGTGCGTATGCGTGGCGGTGCGGTCGATCGATAGATGTTCTGACAGTCGCTGTCAGGCTACGAACGCGCGCGCGCCTTTTCCTGACTGTCTTGGTGGCCGCAATCTCAAGAGGCTACTAAATTGAGCCCTAAGAACCTTACGGAGTGTCATACCTATAAGTGCTTGTCAGCGGGTATGTGACAAGAGAATCGTAATTCTCCGCGCAGGTGAGAGTCGCGTGCGACGATGACGTTGGTTCCAGGTAGTAGATGGTGACAACAGGCAATTCAGAACCGAAAATAGTCATGAATGTTCACGATGACGGCTATACATGAAGTCCGGTGCTCCAACCGACAAGTTAACACAGTCAACAAAGCGCCGCGCCCATCGCCGCGCGCAGCGGAGCGACGAATTACGATTCTTTTGCCCGTCTCCGCTTGTCAGCAC